AAGATATACTAACCCATTGGAAACTCTGTCAATGAGAAAAAAAATTATTTTAATATATCGATCTCACAGTGTGAAAATTAACATAATTCTACAAAGCCCTAAGACTGAAATATTGCTGCTAAAACACATCTAAGTCCATAACACAGAGCACATAAACCTGAGACCTAACTTTTCCTAGTTTTGTCTTGCAATTTGATGGAAATTTTAAAAATCCAGTTTTTATGTGACCCTTTTCACTTAGWGGAACTTAGTGACAAGATATATTTTTTGAGATCAATTGCAATCTGAAAGCTGATCCTGGCTAGGACTGAAAATTTTAGTTGTCAAAAAAAATTGATYTTGTTATTGTTTTCATTTCACTTTTAGGAACCAGTGATTTTCAGTTGTTTGTATTTGTCAAGAATTGTGTTTTATCCTTGCTGGGAGGTTTGATGAAAACCCAATCAGTGCCTTATATGTGTGTTATACCTTGTAGAAGTTCCATCACTTTTGTATTGTTTAGTTTAAAAAGCCATATAGATGCTAGGTGGTTTTTAAGATTCACAATTTTTAACTGAAGCGTTAGAGGAATTTTCAGTTAAAAGAACTGCTTTTGCATCTGGATCTTAGGAGTGTACCAAATCTAGCTGAACAAATCTTCAAGATTTTAGACTAAGAAAAAGCACAATTTACAAAGACTTTTGCAATTTAAAAAAAAAAAAAAACAACAAACTACTCTGATATTTACATCAGTTACAAGTGTATGCAGTATTTTCTAACCTATGGCTTACATTTGTTACTGATAGTTTAGCTTAGAAATAAAACGAGATGTACAACACTGAATGAAATGAAGTACTGTTTGCATTGCTTCGTAAGAATGGATTTCTATTAAAACCTGTTTATTGTAAAGCTGGTCCCCAAACCAAAATTAAGTTTTTGGGGTTTTTTTTCCCCTATATATAGAAAATAAGGCAATGCAACTGCTTGATTGGTCTTCTGGTAGGTGGTGAGCTAAGGGGCYCCTGAGGGGACCCAGGTGAGGCTGAGCAGGTCTGAGGGCCAGGGCTCTCCCAGGACTGAAAACCTGGTGGGGATAAAAAGTCCTTGGTCTAAAACTGTGTGACTCACCCAGAGACAGGCACCAYGACTGACCGTTTTCCAAACTCAAAACCAGAAGTTGATGAAAGTCTTGGTAGCTCTTTCACACTTTTGTGATCAGTTTCTTCAGGAACATCTCTCTAGGACTAGGTAATGGTAATTTAATGGGCTATTTCCTCCAAYATCCACCTTTTACTGGCCAAATGCAATGCAGTTCACCTGTCTGATGGATTAGGAGAGCAATTCCTCCTCGTGTGAAGTAAAGCCCATAAGTTACAGAATGTCTGCTCTTCATCTGAATGTGCAGTGTGGAGTTTCACTACACTTTCAAAAGACAGGGTGAGCAGGAGCAAGGCAGCAACTAAATTATTTTTCCTGCACTGATTTATCTATTGCGCTTCTGATTCCAGGTACTTTCTTTTTAAGTGAATTTAGTTGGCCCTGCAGGTCTCAATCCTTCCTGCCCTTACCGAAGCGAAAGGCAGTTTTGGCAAAGTTCAGAAATATCTGTACATCAGAGGAAGGTGTGCTGTCATCCATCAACATTCCCAAGTGATGCAGAGCTGGGAACAGCGGGGCAGGCGTTGCTGGTGGCTGTTCAGAGTGAACAGACACAGCCCCTGCCCTGCTCCAGCAATGCACACCCACAGCTGCCCAGGCTCGGGGAGGCCTCTGCAAGCATTCACAGGGGCAAGAATCAAGTTATTTAAGCATCTTGTTTTTGCCCTCTGGGATAGAGGCCAATGTGATGTCATCTAATATTTCTATTTCAGGAATTTGTAAAATGCAGCCTAATTTGAAAATGGGCCACAAATAACGCTGTTAGTGAAGGTTTTAAAGATAAACAGTCACCAACAATCTTTCAGCCAAGCACTAAAGTGTGTGGAACAGAATAAAGATGAGAGCACTTGACAACTGAGGCAGCACAAGTTGCATTAAAAATTTCAATATGCTGCCATGCTACATGAGGTATGTTAAATTATTTTACTTATATTTGAACTTAACAGCTGTTCCCTCTTTCTTTAAACAAGGCATTCTCCCCTGCAAAATCATTAAAAGCCTATTAACATGAAAAGCCAACCAACTCTGAGTGTTAGTAAAATACAGATTGTTACACTTGTCTTCCTTCTTCTACTAGAGGAAGGAAGATGAAATGGCCAAACTCATTGCTAGAGATTGACTGCTAAGGCAGGAATGGTAAATACCTATCCCTCCTCAWCTGCAGCAGTGCAGGACACTTTTCTAAATCCATTTAAAAAATAAAGAGCCAGATATCTTTATTTATCTTTCTTTATCTTTATTTAACCTTTTCATCCATATTCTCAAAAGTGGCTTAGGAACCTCTAAAACTGGGAAAATCTCACAAGAAACAAAGACGATTACGCCTATTTCCTGCCATTTTTCTCCTTAAATCTGTTGAGAAGATTTTGCTCTAAAAGCAAGTGATTTTATTCTAGAAAAGAGAAAATATACAGGAYATCAACTCAACAGATGTGAGAGAGAGGACTGGGATGGAAAAACTTATATGTTCTTAACTATATACACAAACACTAAATTTCAAAGCTCACCTGAAAAAATATTGTGGTTATTGCACAACACTATTATTTTTACAGTTGACTTTGCAAATGATTTTCACATGCATTAAAAAAATAAAAATCAAAAGACAATGTAATATTTGGGGCATAAGTAAGCATTCCTACACCTAGTCATCAGAAAGCTCTTAATATGTGCTTTAAGATACACAAACCTGTCATTTTTGCCTGGGCRTCACAAAAGCGATTACTTTACATATTCTTTTATTCTGCTACTATTTTTACCCACATATATACTCAATTTCACATAAGCATCCCAACTCCACCCAACCACCCCCATAAACTGAGATCTACCCATATGACAGCCTAAATTCCTTAGATAAACTCCCCACTAAGAAAGGGTACCATGGACAAAGCCCTCTGAGAACACAGAGGGGCAGTCACAGAGGGTGCAAGGTAAAGCCTCCCAGCTTTTTTAGCATTACAGCTGCTGTCTCTGCCCAAATGCTCTCTAACAACTGTACAAACCATTTCAAGTGAAAAGACACTAATTGGGTCAGAAAAAAATGAGGAGTAAAACAGAACAGAAACACAGTAAAGTAATATAGCAAAGGGAATTAAAAAAAAAATCTAAAAAAAAAACCAAAAAAACAAAAAAACACCAAAAAAAACCAAACCAAACAAAACAAACAGAAGGAAAAGTGTCTGTGGAATGCATCCCATCCAGCTCCAGCTGCTYTGCTTTGAACTTGGGGGGTGCCCCAGTTTTTGCAAGGAGCTCACCTGCAGCCTCAGCCATCTCTGGAGTCAGACTGAAGCAGCTGGGGGACTCTCTGCAGCCAAGCTTTTTGATTTCAAAAGTAAAGACTCTCTGTAGGAGGAAAAAAGGGAGTCCCTTACACACCTACAATCTGTTCTGGGAGGAGGTTGTTGTTCTGTTTCTGGGAGGAGGTTGTTGATAGTGCATTTGAAGTGATAAGCACCATCCAGCTTTGTGTCTAGGGCTCTATGCCACATATTTAAGCTAAAAATTGTTTTTAAAAGCTAATCCGAGAAGGCTGTATAAAATCAKCTAGGAAGTGCAGAGGCTGGTCTGATAACTTTTTCTTCCCATGAACATTTACAAATCTGAGTTTTCTCTGAAAATTAAGTGATACTTCCAAACACAGAAGATTTAAGAATAAAATTCCTCTTAGCAGATATTAACAAGAGTGATCAGTGTAAATCCCTTCATATTATGAGAAGAATAAACTGGAATTCAAAGACTCTCTGAGAAAGTAAGAGAAGTTGGAAAGAAAAGCCCCAGAAGCTCAGATCTCCCACCAGGCTTGGGAGCAGGATCCACTGCCATCTCTGGGGCTTGGCCCCTGCAATGTCCCAGCAGCTCCYTTGATCCTTCCCATTTCCCAAACAACAGCCATGTGTGTAGGTGCTTGCTGGGCAGTGAGGAACCCCCCAGAGTACCCAGCCCAGGCACAAAAGATGCACTTTTACCATTTCTGGGGCTTGCTGCGTTACATACCCTGGTGTGCTGTGAGGGAACCACATGGTAAAAAGTGAGGACATGGCACAGTCTCCAACCCCACTGCTGCTGGAGCCCTGCGGCACAAAAAGAAATAGTCATGGAATAAAGTACACTGACATGAAATTGAATTTACTGAGAAGGTACAGCACTATCATCAGCTGCTTAGGGAACTTGTTTGGGTGAGACCTCAGAGATTGTTACCATGGCTGTTGCCTGTGAAATAAAGTACCACGAGGTGGCAGGTTTTTAGGATTTGGTCTTGTAACATCTTACCATCACCCCTGAACTACCAAACACCAGCCRAACTAAGGTAACTCATTTCTGCTGCTGCCTACTGCAAATGCATGAGAAACAGCTCTGAGCCAGTTCCATCCCTCTGTGCACGCTGCTTTCCACACTGACCACAGGCTGTGCTCACAAGCTGGGCTGGCTCYGTCGGCTCAGATGATGCAGGATAATGCCTGGGCTGGGGCAGCTAACTCCCCAGGGTGGCTGGAGCCCCAGACACCTCAGCCATGTCTTTTCCTGGGAAGCACGCTCACTGTCAGGCTTTGTGTTCCCTTCTCCCATCCAGGGAGCATGCAGCATGCCCTAGGCTGCACAGCTGCACCCAGCTTAACCAGCACCTCTTACAACCCAGAAAGATCGTGTTACAAACTGTTGTGGGTTTAAAATCTGATTTTTTTTCCCAATTTCCCGGCCAATGCACCAARAAATGTCGTGGTTTAGACTGTGCTGAAAGCCAAAAGCACTGCACCCACAACGTTCTCTCCCCTCCCCCCACCGAAGAGGAAGAAGGGAGAACAAAAGCCCAATYAACACAAAAATTTATRGCTTYCAGATAACATAATGTAATTGMGAGAAAGATACGTATGTGCTCCAGAAAATGGTCAGASAGGCTGAATAACTTCAGTTGCAAAAATAGATTTATTACTACAAACTACTAAGAATATTACGGCACGGGGGAGAAGAACAGAGATAGGGACAAATTTACAAGGAGAMGAAAAAATAAAAACGGACATTTTAAGACACCTGTTATCCTTTCCAGGACCTGTCTCTTTCCCAGGTCCTCCCTCTCCACCCCCCATGTTTTCCGGCACACACAGGGGACAGGAATGAAAGTCTAACACAGATCAAACTACTCATTACGGTTATTGTCCAGCATCATAGAAGTGTTCTTACAGCTCCCAGCTGTGGAATTTTTTTTCCCAAGAGACAGTCAGGCGAGGGAATGGCGAGGGAATATTTTCTTTACCTCGTAGGAGAAAAAGAAAGAATGTCTTTCAAGGCCAAACTGTGTTGTTTCAGTGGCGTAAGACCACTATGACAAACCTCCTGGCAGAGCACAGCTTCTTCTAAGCATCCACTTACTTCAGACGTAGGGCGCGGGCGTCTCCTCCTCCATGCAGAGCACAATTTCTTCTCAGCATCRACTTGTTTCAAACGTCGTGGGGGGGCCAAGACTCTTCCCCCTTTTTGGCAGTTTAGYGTAGTACTCAAAGGCCAGGTTTTTTTCAGAGCAAGGTCGCTCTCCTTCTTCYATTCAGGTCTCTCTTTGATGAAATTAGTCCTTTCGAAAACAACTTATTTTCTCTGTGCTCGAGAACCACAGCACAGCACAGCAAGCCATTACCATCTCCTCCTTACTGTGATCTTTGGGTCTCCATTTTTCTTCTTACATCTCCTCCCGCTCCTGCTCTTTTTTTTCCCCAGTGCACGATACTAAAACTACATGCTAACAACCTAAGAACTACATGGCGCCGCGTCTATCTTGGTTTGAATTCTTTCTCAAGTACCAGACAATGCGTCATCACAGAGGTGTAACCAACCTGTGCAAYTGGCCCAGGCCTGATGATCAGCTTGTCCATCAACCTCAGAGCTACACTGGATTGGCTCTAAAACACAGGGGGTAGGGCTCCTTTTGCTGGAGAAGAAGGAGACAGTTTCTAGAACTTCTCATAGGAGCCATCTTTGTGGTTTCTTGGTCCCATCCCCCCACCACCAAAAATCGGACCAAGTAAAACCATGACACAAACCTTTGTATCTTCAAACAYTATTTATTGTCTGGTCCCATGGATGTTTGTGCATTATGTGGAGGAGTGTCTCCTTTTCCTTTGACTTGGAATATTCTCAGACTTTCTGAGAATAGGAGTGACTACTCCTATTTTCTTGGGTGGGAAACAGGGATGACAGTTTCTCCTCCCCTATATGAATGATTTTTAGCTTTTGTACCCCAAAAAGCACAAAGCAGAGAGCCCAACTGCACAGCCAGCTGGCAGGGAGCAGCASGTAGCACTAGCTTAGTTCAATTCCATGGCTGTGGACCTCTAAAGGCCCTTTAGTGGGTCACAAGGGGTACATGGATGAGTCCTTCTATATTCCTTTTTATTTTGTCTCCTTATTTATTTCATCTCTAAGGGAAATAACTCCAAATTTATTAATCTCCCTTCATACAAGAATTTTCCTCTGCTCCAATTGTGTTTGTCACTGTTCCCTGAACCCTTTTTTCCTTCTTTAGTTATTACCTTGAACAAAGATGGATAGAAGAGCAGAAGTAGAAGCCATTCTCCAGACACACAATGTGAAMTACAGAAAAACAGGTCAAGGCTTCACTGAACTCTGGCTCAGTTCTAGCAAGGTCAGTAGACGTACCTTAGGAATGAGTGTACTCCTCTTCAGCTCTTTCTTGCCAAATTCACATTCCTCAATACTGCTCAGGCTGTGAAAAGCAACTGTGGCTGACAACAAGCTCACAGCACATGCAATTGAAGTCCCATTAAACATATTAAAGCTGGAAATGTGTATACACAAAAGCCATTCTGAGCATTTTAGCAAAATCATGCCTAAGCTTTTCTGTGCAGCATTGCAACACATGACCCRAGAAATGATCTGGCCACCTGAAACTCCTGTTCAGATTACTGCCAAAATGAAGGGACAAGAAATCTRCTACCTATTAATTAAGGCCCTGCCTTTTGTTCCCATAGCTTGTGTCATCCAGTGCTGTCTAATAGGTTTTAGATCTTCTTATTATCCATACACAGACTTTTCCTTGCTTTTATTTTAACTAAATCCTTCATTTTGATGCACCAATCAATACCATAAATTAATAATATACCACTCAGGATATGCCGCTTTTCACTTCCATTTCAAATTTCATTATTTTGGCATTATGCTCAAGAATAAATARGAGACCTTGATTTTCTATAACATTAGTTATTTTGTGCATCTTCCCCTCCATATTGACTCTATTCATACATTTACTTTTTTTTATTTGCTTTCTGAATCAAGCAGCTGTGGTCCCTTCATCTCTCTTTATACAGAAATGTTTCCAGGGTTTTAGATGATGCCTGTTGATATGGCAAGACTCTGCTTAGTCCAGTTAATCGCTAACATAAAGGAAACCTGATGGAATGAAATTAACTGCCCATTAAGTATAATAATGACTTGTCTTTGGGCATATTCTTAGCCACTTTCAATCAGGCAAAAGCATTTGGACCTGTATCTTGATTGGTGCCATTTTTCCTACAACCCTATAGTCCTTGCATCACTTTTCCGAATCTGTGGCAGCTGAGAGTAGCTCTTCCAGACATTCTCAGCTCCTGAGGCCCCCTTCATCCAACAATTTATGAGAATGTAGGGAAAAAAAAAAAAAAAAAAAGGAAGAAGCACAATCAGAAGAATTCTACTGAGCCACATAACAAAACAGTGTTGGAATAACCCAACACTTCTCTACCTCACAGAAACACCTCTACCAGCAAGATCTTCCCTCGGGCAGCTGTTTTTGACTTGGCAGTGACTATCATTGCTTTCTGTGTTAAGGATCCACACCCAGATAAAAGGCTGACAGTAGCCCAATTTCATGCAAGTGATCCAGGTTTCATGGCCCCCTGGAGAGAGCTGACTCTCCAGCCGTAACCACAGGCCCTCCCCAAACTGTGCCACAGCACCCATGTCCTGAGAGTAACCACAGTCCCTCCCCAAACTGTGCCAGAGCACCCATGTCCTGAGAGTAACCACAGCCCCTCCCCAAACTGTGCCAGAGCACCCATGTCCTTCCCCCTCCATGGGGATCAAGTCTGACCTTCTCTATGGATAAGCAAAGAGAGCAAAGGGCTACACAGACACAACATGCCAGTTCCCAGCTGGACTCTGCTGAATAAGAGTGTCACAGATCTCTGTAAGATTTGCAGTCATAGCCAGCCAAAGGCATATTCATGAATTCTCACTTTGAATCCCATTTCATTTAAAAAATGCTGTCCCCTTGAGGGTTTTTTTTTTTTTTTTTCGGTACTTGCAAACCTGCCAGCTTTTTTAACATATAAATAGGAACATTTAGTAAGAAAACAGGGACATGATTCTAACTCTATCAAAATACATCTGACAGAAAGAGCTTTCAGGGGAGAAAGAATTGAAAKGATTCACTGCTTTTAAAGAATGGTTAAAACTCCATCTTTCATTACAGCAAGACCTAGGAGGAGTGGCTTTGATCCCTCAATATTATCTGACCAAAGGCAGTTAATACCTACTTCTGGAGTAGCAGCATTAGCTATTTTAGAGAATTCTTTRAACGATTTCCAGGGCTATTAAAGTCAACTGTAAAATACCACTGCATTTACCTAACCAAAATTTCCCCACCAGATCAGCCCACAAAAGGCTTTAGAAGCTGCAATATCACGGGTCGCAATTCTGAACTTCTGACACTTTTAGCCGGCTTCATCCCGCTAACTTTGGGAACCTTAGCCAGAAACACAAATCTTGCAGAGCTCCTCTGAAGTTAATGGAGAACTCCCAGCAATAATTCAGGCTGATTGTTACAGGGGATAATCCAGGATCTTATCCCACAGAGAAACAGCCAGCCCTGGGTGGTATATCTAGGCTCCCTCTTCTTTATGTGGTGACACACACATGTCTCTGAACAGGATCTTGAAAAGCCACCAGAAGAAATAGGGAGCACTCTTATCTAGCTGGCACTGAGCTGGTGGGGAGAACCTTTTGTCCCTGAGCCCCATGAAGCTGCTGAGCAACCTTCTCAGTTTTCTTGTTTTCTAGGAGCAAAGAGGACACCCTTCCAGAT